TAGGGTTATGTCGAGGTTATATAGGGATAATGGAAAAGAAAATGGAAACTACTGTTTATAGGGTTTAGGGTTATATAGGGGTACTATAGGGATAATGGAAAAGAAAACAGAAACTACTGTAATCTCATAGTGATTATATAGGGGTTATACAATTTTTTTTTTTTTTTTTATTTTTTCCTATGGGACATTATGGGACCTTTTATCCAAGGCACACGTCCCCAGAAATGCGGTTCTACTAGGGCTAGGGTTTAGGGCTCCAAAATCTTTGGAGTAATACCTATAATTAAAAAGACAGTAATAATAGTTGTACAATAGTAGTAACAATTACTATTGCTACTATTAGAACATAATTTCTACTTATAATGATTATACTACTATATTATTCTTACTGGATATGTTGGCTATGCACCCCTTTGTTTTAATCAAGGTTGATGAAACTACCCAGAGGCATGCGAGAATGCCCCAACCTCTCAGTCATGGCCGGCCAGTGTACGGCGACCTGAAGGGCAGCTTCTGTGAAGGGCATATCCTCTCTTACTTCACTCCCGAATAAGAAGCCTCCCTACACCCCTAGCAATAAATGTCCGGCAATTATGCAATGGTACTCTGTTGGGTGTATATGGGCCCATTATTACCAGGTGCGCGGCGGGGGTTCATTAAGCATGCTTGGGCCGATGCCCACCCCGTGGAGTAGAGCGACCACTCTGCCTCCCACTGGCCTCACTACGTATCGATTTTCAGGGCTTTCGCTGAATCGAAATCAAAGGGTTCTGTCAAATGTTCTTCAAATCTCACAAATCCAGGAAGAGCTCTAGAATCATGCACAGATTTTCCACGCGGAGTGATGTTTGGACCCGGACAGCGCCCGTGTATCTGGATGACTCCAGAGGAGGCAAGTTCTGCCACGATGCAATGCAAGAGCATGTCTTCGGTAGTCAACAGTCAACAAATGTCAACAGGAACAGCGCTTGCCTGAACGGAGCCTTCCAGCTCCAGAACCGGCTGTGGCGCCTTGGAAGATGCTTGTTGTGAGCTCTCTGAACTCTCTGAACCCTGAACTCGTTACTTGCACTTGTTTTTGACTGCCTTGGCCTTCGCCGCCCCTTTGGGCTTGCCCTGACAGTTCTGGGTCCGCACTTCAGTTTGCCTGGAATTCCTTGGGTCTCTCGTCCAGGCCTTTGTATTCTTCTGCAGCTGCCTGACTTTCTGCATGATGATGCGGAGCTGCGCCTGCGCAAGGCAGCCGCTGGCAAAGCTCTTCCCGACCGTCAACCTTGTCCAAAGCTGCTGTAGGGCCAGTGCATCTTTCTCCTCGTACATTCTGTCTTTCGAGGCCAGGGTGCGCTCCAGGTTGACCTGCAATGTCCAAGTTGTTTGCCAAGCATGGCTGTGCTCTTGCCCAGTGCCAAAGGCCCGAGGCTGAAGCATTGTCCTTTCGCATGGTTTCAACCACCTCGGCTTCGTGACAGCTGAGCAGCACTGCTAGCATTCCTGATTTTTTCGAGAAGCTACACCTCCTGGAGGCTTGACACATATTGCATGAGCGCATATCACAATCAAACACTGTCAAAACATGTGAGGCATTGGCCATCATTAGTTTTTGCATGCGCTCCATGAGCTTCAAGTTTTTCTGCCTGAGTTCATCCAGGTCGTCCATCTGCAGGCTTTTTGTGCTTGCTGTTTTGGGGGGCGAACTCTAAACGATCCCGCATCAGCTTCTCCTGCCGGGGGCGGAGGTTGAAATGCAAGCTACCATTCACAGCCCTTCACCATCAGCAGCAGAATGCAGCTACCTTGTGAAGCTCGTAGTGGGAGACAATGAGCGCCTAGAGCAAGGAACCAGGCTAAAGATCAGGGCTGCTCGCAGGAACTTCGCTCTACGCAGGAGCTTGGCCCTTGACGCTATCTTTGGCAGCAGCCTCTGTGCGCAGCGCGTCGAGCACACCCTCATCGCCTGCTTTCAGCAAAGAAGCACCAGTGCTAGGCCATTGCACATGCAATCACATGCAGCTCCAGAGGTGTGATTGAGCGCCGTGCCATCTTTACCTCCACGAGGACTTTGCCTTGGCAGGTGCTTGCGAAACTCGAGAGGGTGGAGAGCAATGGCTTCAGGTGCAAGCTGTTCCAGCTGACGGTAGTGCATGAGGTCCACCTGACAGATCCAGGCAACTTGGCTGATGGGCCCATGCAGACCTTAAAATAGAAGGGAGCCTGTTGATGCTTGAGGACTTGTTCTTTTTCTTCCAACTGTTGGCGGGCCTGCAGAATTCACACAGCTGATCAAAGGTGCTGAGTGTGATCGGATTCCACAGGGCCTCTGCTACCTCCTGCTGCAGAGACTTCATGTCTTTCATCATGACCTGCTTCTCCTGGCAGCTCAAAGGCCACTTGAAGGACGTTCTCACGCATCTGCATGCATCTGCAAATGCCTCCAGAAGCTGATCAACCTTCTGTTGGTGGTACTCGAGATCCAACCTTTGCAGCTTGCAGCGCCAGCTTCAGATATGACACACTAGAAGGCTTTTGGAGCCCAAGGTCTTGGCTGAAGGTGGCGAATGTCACTGACAAGGTCAGCGATTTGCTGAGCTTGCCGTTGGTCTCAGGAATTGGTGAACTCTCACTTGCCAGAAAACCATGATCGATGCGTGACACACTGTCGGATACTGTCAGTCATGTTGTCGGTCTGAGCGTCCAGCTTTCGGCCTGGGCTGCCGAAGCCGCAGCTTCCGAGGCCGCCAGCTTGTCATTGGCCTTGGGCCACAGGGTTGTGCAGACATGGTACGAGTGTGCCGCAGGCGGCGGCAAATCCATCTGGCAACTTCAAAGGAGTCTCTGCGGACAAGTGTCGCCTCCACCAGCCTCACACAAACCGCTCTGCAGTGTAACTGCTTCATACTGGAACATCAGTACAATAAACGGCTGCCTCCGCCTGCTCTTTGTCTGCGCGGAGGCTCGCAGCCTGCCAGTATGGCCCAGTCTTTGTGCGTCCCTCACAGCACATCTCACTTTGAAAAGTGCCTCCGTTCGAGCGAGCGTCAGCTCGGTGTACAGGTGCGCAAGCCTTCAAAGTCAAGCTATTCAGATGCCCTGTGTCCGTGCCAATGTTTGTCTTGGATCAAGGCTGTGTATTTAGCACCGAGATTTGCTGGTAGGCTGCTCCGAGCAGAGGAGGCTCCTGCACCAAAGGTCATGGGCATCCCACCCCACTGTGTGCCACGAAACTTAAAAATGGCTGGCAAGTTGCTCCATGATATTTGCTACTCAAGTTCTTTCCCTTGCCCAAGGTCCTCGGACGCAGTGGCCGCGAAGCCTAAGGATCATGCACCATTATGCGACAGTTGTCGAAACTTGCAAAATGAACAGTGGCACGACAACGGGCTCAGTTCGCGGCTTAGCTGCTCACCCTCTCCAGGCACTACGGTGCTGGCCTGGCTGATATTGAAGCAGGCCCGGGAGTCATGCTGCCAAGGAATTTCACACGATTGCTTTTTTCGATTTGCGCACAATTCTGGAAATCCCCGAGCTACCTCTGTGCAACTGAGCTCACCCTCGGGTCTCGGTCTCCACCGCAGCATGAAGGACCATTGTCGAAAGTTCGGCCTGGTCTAGTGCTTTCGCCCGCGACGTCGACGTCGAAGTATGAAGAAACCGCCGGAGGTGAGATTTGCTCGAAGCTGGACGATGCGCAGCGTGGATGTGGAACGCGTGAGTCCTCACGATCCGTGTGGGCGCTTGCAGCAAGTGTAAACGAAGCACTGGTCCTCAGCTATTTGAACGTTGCACTGGAAAGCCGTCTGCAAGTGTTGCAAGCGCGCAGATGGAGGTGAGAATGAAAAAACGACAAATACACCAGAGTCATTCAATATCCGTGCCACTTCTGACACATATCTGGCAGCATCTGCTTCACGATTGCAATCGCACACAGAATCTAGCGTTGACTTATCGATCGCGCAATCAAAAAAGCCGTCTTCGAACAGCGTTCGCATTTCCCGCACGTCCCCTTGCACCCAGTGCAAGTGCGCGGAACTTCTTTTGTCTCGCGCCTGCATGGCTTGCACGCATGACTCAGATACGTCAACATTCCAAACCTCGCCACATTGCCAGGCATCGGCCATGTCTTCCGCAAGGAGGCTGGTGCCACATCCCAGGTGAATGATACGCTTCTTTCCTCTTGCAGGCTCCAGCCAAGGCTTCAGCGAGTCAAAACTGCCCAGCCAATCGTGCGGCTGCCTGTACCATTCTTCTTCGTACCTGTCTTGCCAATAGCGGACATCTCCATAGTCAACGTCCGAATCGGCTGCATCGTCTTTCTGCAGATAGAAACACAGGACTCCAGTGCAGAGGGTAGTGGAGGTGACAAACACGGTTGCCTTCAGAAGCTCCTCCCTTGAGCGCTTGGAGTGCTTTGGTGCGCTGGGCTCCCTTGACAAGGTGGCTTTCAATCGCGAAATGTGTTGGCGCAGCCTGACCTGGCGGCTCCAGCTTGTGCCAACCGCACGTTGTTGGATGGAGATCATGACCGCCAGCGATGCCTATGCCCAGTGCTACAATGAGTGAAGTTTTCAGCCACAAGGTGAATGTCGTAGAATCGTAGAATGCTTCCAACAAGGTTGAATGGGTTTGAGTGAACTGTTCGACTTGGGGAGGATCCATGCATCTCAAAGCGTTAATTTGTTCGGGCTGCTTCATCTGCCCGTGTGAAGTCTGCGCATGTCGATGTGTTCCTGGCAAAGCTGGTAGTATCTAGAAAAATCTAGCAATATCTAGCAATCTGTTGCCAGTCGCTGGCTAGATTCCATGCTGGAGCCTGCATGGATCACGACCATTTCCTGAGGGTTGCTCAACCACCTGGGCAGCAACAAGCATGAAGCTGACCTGTCGTTGAGAGAGCTCCTGCTGTAGACCTCGACAGGCTTCACCATGTTGGCAAATGTGCTCTTGGGAAGCTCCATGATGGCGCCTGAGACCTCGGTTTCCAGCTCCGACACCTCCAGGGCAAAGCCAGGACTTTGGTAAGGCGCAACAACGTCCATGAAAAAATGCTTCAGGAAGTGTAGCTGCTTATGAGATGTCCATAGCCTTTGCTCGAAGCTTGGTGACATCCTCGGACTGGCTGTGGGAGGCAGCCTTGCAAAGGCCAGGCAAACCCGGGCATGTCCGGGTATGGACAAACAAAAAAAGGCTCTGGTGCAAGCAGCAGGCAAGTAATTTCTGCACTCCCACTAGGCCGTACAATACCCACATGCGGAATAGCTAATTTGTTTGTTCCCTCCAAAGCAACATCTACAGGAGTGAGCTCAGCACGGACGGATCTCGCAAGATGCTCTCGAAGATGACATCCGTAACATCCTTGCTGAAGTCCTGGAAAGTTCTTGAGGGCACAACGCCCATGTGGAACCACAAGCAGCAAGCACGTTGGCAATCTGGCATGTCCTCCGTACCGGTGGATTCCTGCTGTTCGGGATGGAACGTTCGGATGCCTCTCGAGCTGAGAACATCATACCCTCCATTCATCCCAAAGAATGTGTTGACCAAGCTTGGTCCCCGGCCCAAGGAGTCGCGATCCGAGCCCGCTGTCTGAGTATCTGCCACGCGCTACACCAAAACCCAAATCCGCTCATCCAAATCCAGGGTGTGTGCCTCGCACGTTCGAGCTTGGGTCTTCATCCGCCATGCCGGCAGCAGCCCTGAAGAACAACAGCTTAGCAGCTAGGGTTTGTAGGTCTCATGCCGCAGGCCATGCACAGCAGTCCTCTTCGCTCTACTGAGCCCTACCAAGCCCCCATCTGCCAGCCATGCTCTGATGGAGCCGCAAGCTTAGGAAGAGCGATCCAGATTCAGCTGCAGTTGCCTGCTTCATGAAGTAGTTGGGTCAGCAACACTGCCACGCAAGTCGTAAGCAGCTCTAACAGACTAGTCAAGCATGCGTCCGCAAACTCTAGCCTGACAAGGCAGCCGTGCCCTGTGCAAAGAAGTCATGATGCAGGGTTGCGATGCAAGCTATTTTCGGGTCGAGCATGTGACTGCTTTCTCCCTGGCTCACTTGTCTGAATCACGCCGCAGGAATAGCACCACACCTGCAGCACAAAAGTCTGAAAGCTTGACAACTTCAAGGTCTCGTATGGTCTCGTGCGCAAAGGCCGCATGCTTTGCGAGATGTTTTTCCCTCAGGCGAGTAGGTTTCGCGGGAAAATTTCAGCACACGGTTCTTTGGAGTCACGGGCTACAAGTGGTATGATTTTTTTTGCCAATGCAAAAGGCCTTAGCAGGTCTCTTCAAAGCTGACAGGCTTGCGCCCACTGCCCTGCCCATGATTCCTTAAATAGTAGGCTCCTTTCCGGTCCCGACACTGCGAGCAAGGATCCGGCAGCGGACCATGACAGTCGACAGGCCTCGGAACCGATGCTCCAAGAAGTTTGGACATTCCACGGCTGACCCTCCATGTCCTGCCACCAAATCTGGACAAGCCCATCCTCGAAGCACACTGCAATCGAGCTGGATGGTATGCCCAGATTAGGCTTCCATGCAACAGCGCGCACCGCAGGTCCAGATCCAGCTTCAACCAGCTCATGTTGAAGGGACCATGCCTCGCTCTTCTCGTCGCAGCGCCAGATGCGAACAGATCGATCACTTGACGCCGAAACCAAGCGCAGCGGAGCTCTGGCTGCGGCCCGTGCAGCAGCGGGACCGGCTGCAAGGGTTGCAGGGCTGGCCGCAGGTGCCCAGCAGAGCGCAACCAGACCAGCGCGGTGGGCCTCCATGGGCTTTGACAGCCACTGCTCCCCGGCCGGCAAGACCGCGCTTGCTACAACCTCCTTCCGCGTCACAAAACAAATATCGGGGCTCTCGCTGCCCGCGACTGCTAACATCAGACCATACTCGGCAGGTCGAAAACTGGCTGCAACTGCGGATCCTCTCACAGTGAGCTGGTGTACGGAATGCCACCTCAGACGCAAAGCCTAATTTAATGCCTCTGCACGGCCCTACTACATTCTGCTGCTCTTGTTTGACGCTTTTGAGTGTTCTGCTCTGAGCGCTTGGCTGGCCCTGCTGCTCTCGCCAGAGCAAAATGGTTCCATCAGCTGCGCCACTTACCAGCTGAACCTGTCGGCACGACAGTGGCGGACAAAAACCATGCAATGGAACAGGAGCAGTGCCGAAACAGCAACGTGCCCGAGGTGCAGCCATGGAGAGAGGGGGTGGCGTGGATCTGTGTGCAGGCAAAGGTGCCGGGAGGGTCTTCTTTGGAGCCCAGCCCACAACCAGCACTGCAGCCTGGTGTCCTGGCAGCCTAAGGAAGGCCGCGCTGCTGCCAGCTGCTGCCATTATGCTTGCATGGGGCAACTCAAAACTGAAGCCCGAGGCATCCACTGTGCTAACATCTGATGGCTCTCTGCACACCAAATCCTGACAACCTAAGCTATTGCAGCAGGCCAGGCAGGACGGCAGGACTGTCTCCATGCAGGCATGGACTGCCAAGATACGCCGTCAGACGAAGCTGTTGCCATTCGTCGACCAACTGAGTCATACCTTCATTCTCTGCGAACAAGCTATGCAATAGGATTATTCGAAGGCCCACAACTTTGACCGAGATGCTTGGCATCATGTAGGCTGCCAAACTGCAACGCATCATAGCCGGCAGCTGCAACCATTGTGGATTTGAAGCAACACGTTCACCCACCTCAACTATTCTGGCTGCATGACTTGAAATGTAATTGCACATATACATATTTGCTCGCTCTGCTTGCAACATCGATGAACAACATTGCTCACTTTGTCAAAGCTGTAGAGCCGTGATGCACCAAGGACTTGACATAGTTGGAAAGGCAGCAACGTAATTAGGCACAAGCAGCCAACATCGAAGGCTCAGTTTTCGCGCAGTAGTTCAAGAACTTCTATAATATAGCAAGCCGGCTTCTCAATGTTGTCCCCTCTAATGACTCTGATGTCCAGGCTTTTGTACATGGGTTTGCAGCACCCTGCTAGAATGTTCTGGTATCGCGCAGAGGACACTCGATTCAGATGGAGAAGCCTGGCAATCGGGAAAAAGATTTCCTTCCCCCATGCCCACAGAAATGTCCGTTCGTCTAAGCCTTAAGCACTTGAGAAATTTAGCACATCTTGTAAGCTTGTGGGCCGGAGGCAGGATTCTAAATGCGCACGCAATGCCAAGCGCTCTGCGCCTGACAAGGTGCGCTTCCGCCCGTTATCTGCAGGAGCTAGCCTGCGCAGCCCGTGCCGGGCTCAACGCTGCTTGATCTGAGGCCCGCCGAAGGTCTTCCTCAGAATTCAGACCGTACATCTGGGCTCGGACCTTGAGAATCTGTCTTGGGGCCTATGCGAGTACTTTCATTTAGGATTGCTGGTGCTGAGCCCGTTTGTAACCAATCTATCATCCACACTCAAGCATTCAAAGGGCCGGTCTTCTTCAGCTCCACACGTCACAGAATGTCCGTTCTCATCATGGAACTTCATGGAGCCATGTGGAACCTGAATCTAAAATGCCCAGCTTCTCGACGTTGGC